GATCCAGAAAGAAATTCCGATTTTTCCATTAGCTGGTTACAAAGCCTCCGTAGTAACTTTAAGTCATTTCTGAAGCAGGTTCCCTACTCCCACCTGACTCTTGGCACTCTCTCTCCTTCCTGGCTCCTGCCAACCCCTAAATCTCACATGCTCTCTTTTGTTCCCTCCTGGGATGCTGAGCATCATCCGAGGAACTCACAGGACCAGGCAGATCAGACCCCTTGGATTTCTGATTTCTGAAACACTGTTTGGGAGTACATTTTCTCCGTCCCTTCTTGGCTGCCTTAAAAATAACTCAGAGTATTTTACTGGTATTACCACTCCTGGGCTGGGTCTTCTGGAGAAATCAAGAGGAAACAGTGTGTCTTGACATAGGAAAATGCAGGGGATATTTAGACAATGATAAATAGTTAAATGAGAATAACTGGAATCAAAGTAAAATATATTTATAGCAAGCTAGTATACTTCTCATATTGCAAGTTGCACTGGTGTTCAGTAAATTTTTATATATTGTCCCAATTAATTTTATTCAATAAACTTTGCTTACTGTTTTGGATCATAGCACTATAGAAATCTGTAAGTTATAACAAATATAGATAGGGTATTAACTGAATTAGGAGTTCTATAAATTAAAATATATTTTATATATAGTAAGCATGCTTCTGCAAATAAACGTTTAGGTTTAAATTTTATGCTTACTCAGAAAATTTCTTACTTAGTAACAGATATTTTATGAACAGAATTAAGGCAGCAGGAATTTTGTGGTAATTTGCCAATATTTGCCTTGAATCAAAATGTAGACCATATTTATCCTACCCTTTATCAGACATTCTTAAAAGAAATACAGTCATTTTGTTTCTTTTTTCTTTTTTAAAATATATTTTATTGATTTTACACAGAGAGGAAATGCAACCAAGGTACTTGCCCTTGACCGGAATCAAACCCGGGACCTTCCAGTCCGCAGGCCCACACTCTATCCACTGAGCCAAACCGGTTTCAGCCATTTTTTTCTTAAGGAAAAGAATCACTTAAAAATGAAAAGATCTCAAACATAATATACAGAACTTGAATCACTTGCCTATTATGTGGGATAAACTCATTATTAAAAACCCTCAAGAGGCTTAAAATACAAAAAAAAAAAAATACGTTTACTGATAACCAATTTGGCTTATCATAAGGTTTGGTTGGATGTTAATAGTAATGTCTAAGTTTAAATACAGAAATTGCTCATAAGAGCGATTAATCAAAATGAATCTTAAACCAGGGCTACAAAACTTTTCACACACACACACACACACACACACACACACCCGCCTAACTTGTGGGTGTTACTTTCATCCAACTCTTTTTTTTTTTTTTTTTTTTTTTTTGTGGTGGTGGTTGTTTTATCTTGACACAACATTTGGGTAGGTACTGGGTACCATATTGGATCTTGTTACTTTATTATTTGACTTGTGCTATCCTTTAGTCCATCAATTACAAAACACAAAAGGAAAAGCAACTGCAATGTAAAACATTCCTAACCAAGAAGGCAAATACTTACTGAGTCCTGTGTGTTTTATGTACTATTAAATCTGTACATAAAGTTACAAGGAAAAGGAAATGGGGGATGTATAGACAGACCCAGAAAAACTAACCAAATTAACATTGGTTAGGTGTTTAATTGTCATAGGCACAGGGCAACATTATTAGAGTAGAGCATAGAATAACAGTTTTACATAATCAAAAATTACCTTAAAATATATAATTCTTAACTAGTTTACTATATACAGTTTCTCTGTAGACACTGAAGTATCTATATCCTTTACATTTTAATATATAGCTGCTGATTATAGCAAAGCTTTTTATGAATATATTTTTCCTCTAAGAAACATACTGTTATTGAAAAAGAGGGAAAAAATATCAGAGAATTTATTTTTATAGTTTTTAATTAAATCTCCACCTTCTCTCCACCTACTTGTTTAAAATAACAAGTATTTTTTTCAAATGTATAAATCATGTAACATTAAGCATCATTTTATAAGTCACCATACTTAGCAATAATTTTCTTGGCCTATGAAACTACAGAGAAAAAATTGTCTTTAATAAAATCAGTATTTTAATTAAGTATGTTTTCTATAAAGATGTTGAGCCTCTTTAATTAACCAGTTAACTAAAAATATTATAGAGCTCTATATTCTATTATAATCTTCCAATCTAAACTCTAAACTAAAAAGTTAAACACAAATCAAGAAATAATTTTTTTTTGTTTCAAATCCTCAACTCTACATTTTATGCTCTTTTCCTCCCAAGTAGTATTTATTATTTTTCAAACTAAAACACCAACTATTGAAGAATACTTCAGGACCTACAGGGAAACTTAGTTATGTGTTTGTATGTTTTAATGACAGGTGTGACTCACTTTTATAACTGGTACATTAATGTAAACCTTAGTGAATAAATTTCTAAGGTAGTTTACTGTTATTTAAAGAAACTTCACCAGGAATCCTGAGTGAAGATGCCATTTTACAATGCATATAAATATAACATTATGCATATTCAGATTCTCTGTGTCATCTTTTCTTAAATTAGGACATATCAGTAATGTGATATCTATCTACCCAAATTCCTCCCTAAGGTTGGTTGTAAATGAAAATAATGTATGACTTAGTGGAAAAGTAAAATGTAAAAAAAAAATAAATAAAAACAATACTTCTCAGTATGTGCCTTTTGCTTTTTTTGGGGGGGGGGGGAGGGGTGTGCAGGGAGACAGATTTAAATGTTGTTTTTTCATGCATTTCATAGAGACTGCACTGAGTACATGAGTTGTGAGGCCCAATTTCACACAAATCCTTGCTGGTGTTTTCAAAATTAGACCATGCAGGCTAATATAGTTTCTTCCCCCAACCCTCCAACAAAGAATTTTACTAAATAAAACACAGATGGCAGTTAAGTACAGTGGTAAAAGCTGTGATAGTTAATTATCTTGCCTGAACCAGTTAAGTAGTGACAAATAAATAATGTAAAGCCCACTGCCTGGCATGCAGTAACTGCTCAATAAATGTTTAGCTCCTATGATTATTCACATTAATAATTCAACACCCATTCCTGGCTTTAGCTGCTTTCTTTAAACATGGAACCTTATCCCAAAGTTCCACATCTTCAAAAATCATCCACTTACTAACATATGCTGCAAATACTGGAAAACCTTCCACCTTAAAACATGTTAAGGAACTCCTTTGACATCTAAAAGGTTAAGATGACTGATGACATATTTAGATATGGAAAAGTTGGTCTTTATCTGAAAATGCTTTAATGAAATGCTCACACCTGCTAATGTTTTCTGAAGGGTATTGATATACTAACCTATTATTTTCCTAGCATTTAGCAAATCCACAAGCTGTAAGCTTTTTATTACGAGTCCTCTTCTAGACGGACACATACCCTCAAGATATGAGTCACCCTTCCAGTATTGGGGAAACTGATGGAAAGACGGCTAAATGATTCAGCATGCTGCAGCAAAACGAGCTGGTCATGAATTTATAATTTCTGTCAGGTGCCCCAGCCCTGGTGGCCTCCCTCACCCTGTACTGCATATGTAACACACGATACCACAATTAACGAATGTTGTTAAGAATTCCCCCAGGAAAGGAGTAATGCTGTTTTCCTTTCAAGCAAGCTTCTACAAGCAAAATTATTCATTTTTTAATGGGACAACTGGTTCAGTAGGCTGGAACACCCTGACAGAGTCCGTTGTCAGCTTCATCAAGTTTAGCTTATACAGATGGGACTAGGGTCAATCCTGACACTGGTGCCATTTCCACAGCCAGTGACACATGGACATCACTGGGGAAAGCCTGCAGCAGAGGAAACCAGGAAATGGTCTCAGGGCATCAGGTGTGAAACAGGTATGGTTGTATCTGCATCTCTCATGCCAACACCGACCTTCGCCAACACATATCATACCAGGACATGTCTTAGGCAGGTCCAAGAGACCGAATGGCAACTACAGAATAGATTCTGATGCGGCCTGTTTAGGTGCCTCACTACCCAACACAGGTGAACGCCTTTTTCTAAGTGTCCCTATTTGCCCTTCAATCACAAAAGATGGCCTGCTAATCGAAGAAAACATTTGTAGATTGGTTCCAAATAGTTAGGTTCCAAACTACCCCCCCCCATCAAATAACCAATATGAACAACAAAAAAAGATTTTAAATGTTTTCATCTAAAATTACACCGCCTCAAATGCTGGAAAAGCACATCCATTTTGTGACCACAGCCTCACAGAGTCATGCTGCCCAGCAGTTTCTGAGACTGGGACAAAGCAGTGTGCCTGGGAGTGTAAAACGAAATCCCCATTATCTACCAAGTGCAATTTCCTCCTTCGGTAGTTTGAATTTATTTCGGTTCGGTGTGATCATATACAACGCACACTCGTATACCCATCGCTCACACACAAAATCTCAGCAGCCACCCTGAAAAAGATGGCATTATCTAAAAGCTGTTCAAAAGTATTTAAGAAACAACGGGGGTGACAAGGTTGACCTTCCCTCCATCCATCTTATTTCTGCTGTTATGACTGTGCAACCCTGATTTCCTCTAACCCGGAGAAGGAAGGGAGTATGGAAAAGAAAGAAAGAAGAGAGAGGAGAGAGGAGAGAGGAGAGAAAAGGGGGGGGGGGGGCGGGGGGGAGAGAGAGAGAAAGAAAGTGCCTAATACAGAATGTGCAATTTCTTGCTATCTTATAGCATTCATGAATATATATATATTTTTTCTCCACTAAGACCTTGGTGGTAAAGAGGCGGGGGGTTGGGGAGGGGGGCGGGGAAATGGCTCAAAAACAAGGTTTGGGGAGCTGACCCAACCCAAGGAAACAGACGCCTCCGGGGGTCGGAGGTGTCCAGCTCTGGGCAGCCCTGCTGAGAGCTGCAAAGGCTGCAGCGTTCTGGACAGCGGGGAGCCCAGGCCTCCGCCGCCGGCCTCCAGGGCGCATGTCCCACTTATATAAAGAGATGCTTACAGTCCAGGTGCTTCTTCTTGGGGCCCATCACCTCGTGCGTGGTGGCCTTGCACACCGCCCTGGCCACGGCGGAGCCCGTCACGCTGTACTGCGCCGCGGCGATCCGGTCCGTGAGCGTTTGGCCTGACATCTTCGCTGGCCGCGTGGACCGCCTCCTCTGCTGCGGGGACAGGAGAGGGAGGAGATGGTCTCGCTTTCAAACCATAGACCCTCCCTCCCCTCGGAGCGCCCAGGCCTGGTGCCTCCTCCTGCCGCACGGCGGGGCTCTCCGCCGCCGTCCCCGCCCTGGTGCCACCTCTGGGGGCCAGAAACGCCGCGCCCGCTCCCGCAACGCTTTTGGTCTAGGAGGGTCTTGAGCCAGGGGTAGGTCTATCACGCAACCCCAGCGCGGGCTCCGGGTCCCAGCATCCGGTCCCCATCCTCTCCGGCGCCCCCGATGGGCACTTTGCCTGCAACCTGATCTGCAGGTGCCAGGCCGGCGTGCTTCGGGGCAATTCCCCCAGGCGGGTGCTGCGCCCACCGGGTGCCCACCCTCCCCTCCCCTCCCCTCCCCGCCGCAGGGCTGCCACCCTGCAGCCCGCAGGCTTCGGAAAACGAATTGGATACCCAAGCCCCGGCCGCTTCCTCCCCCCCCCCCCTCCTCCTCCTCCTGCTGCTGCTGCAGCCGCTGCAGCAATGGGCTCGTCCTCCCGCGGCCGCAGAGGAGATTATCCTCACGTTGCGCCATGTTATGCCCGCGCCTCCCCTTCCTTCCTTCCTCTGCGTCCGAAGCCCGGCCGAGGGCCCTGCGCCCGGGAAGCCTCCCCTCTGCGCCCTCCAGATCCCCGCTGCACCGACCGCGCGGCTCTGCGGAGGCGCCCCAGGCTCCCGGCGCCGCGCCCTTCCCGTCCGCGGGGCAGAGATGGGTGACAGCCCAGCCCCCGCCGCCGTCCGCCCTCCCCGCCGCCGCGGCGCTGTCACCGGCCCCTGCCCTGCTCCGCGCCCGGGATGATCCTCCCGGGTCCCCGGGGGCCCTGCCAGGGGGAGAGGGGGGCCTGGCCCCGCCGCCGCCGCGGGTACTCACCCCGCCCCGGGAGCAGCGAGCCCGGGCCCCCGAGGGAAGCCGCGCCGGGTGGGTGTGCGCGGCCGCGCGAGGACCCGGTGCCCCGGGCGCGATGCCTGCAGCCCCGGCCCAGCCCCTGCCCGCAGCGCCGCGGTCCGTGCGCCCGCCGCCGCCGGTGGCCCCGGAGCCCGTGCCCGCCCGCCCGCCGCCTCCGCCGCCAGCGCCGCCGCGCCGCCGCGTCTGCCTCCCCAGCTCCCGGCGCTGCGTCCCCATCCCAGCCCCCACCTCGGCGGGGCCCGGAGTCAGGTGACGGCGGCGGACAAACCCGGGCGCGCTCTCCGCCGCGAGCGCCGGCGGCCCCCGCCCGGCTACTCACACACGCCGCCCCCCGAGCCGGGCGCGCCGCGCGCTAGCATCCCGGGTGGGTGAGCGCCGAGAGGGAGCGGGAGGAGGGATGCGGGGAGGCCGCCGTCCGCCCGGCCTTCCACCGGCCCCGCCGGGAGCCCCGCCCGCGGGACCCGCACCCGCAAGCCCTCCGCGCGCGCCGCACGCACCTGCCGCCGACCGCCTGCGGGATGCGCCCGGGCCGGGGCGGGGTGCGCGCAGCCCCGCGAGTGGTTCTGGAGTTTCCTCCGCGAAGGCCACGGCTACGGCGTGGTCACGCTCCGTCTGACAGATCCCAGCCCCCTCTTCCCTCCTGCATCGGCCTCACACGCGCCCTCCTGTCAAAGGCAGACTCAGCCCAGACAGGGCTGGAAGGCTGAAAATGTCAGATTCTGCCACCGCACCCGGTACTGTGCGTCCTGCACTCCCTGGAGCTCCTCTGCTGGTCTCTGACCATCGGAAGCCTGGGTGGGGAGGCGATTCTAGCCATTCTGGTCTTAAATGGGTATTAAGGTCAGCGGCAAGGACGAATAAGGAACAGAGCCATCGACGGAGTCCCAGATCATAGTCACAGTAATCATTTGGGTGTGTAAAGAAAAGTCTTTTGATACCCTTAGAAAGTGATGTCTGCCAATGCAGCATGGTGTTTGAAGTGCGTGCATGGATTTCTACACAGGGACTTGGGCTCAGTAATAGTTTCACGAGTTGACATTTTCAAAAATGGTTATTTTCCTTAACCTAAAAGAAATATTTTTTAAGTTTTTAAGGTGGAGTCAAAATCAGAACTTGAGTTGTAATTTTCCTTGATATTTTTTCCCTCGCTATGGGAGGCCTGTGTTTGGCCAGGAGGTTGTAAAATGTCTACCTATACTATCAAGGTTTTGTTGTGTTCTCTCTTTCACCTGGTACAGTGTTCAGTATTTCATAACTCTTGGGACTGACTGACTTTTAGCATTAATTAGAAGCTTGATGACTAAAGGAAAGACTGCCCAAGACCAATATTGGTAGGGTTCAAATACTAGTCTTACCACATGATCTGGCAATATCACACCTAAGTACTTATCCAAGAGAAATAAAAATACATCACCATTAAAAAATGGGTACTCAAATCTTGTAGTAGCTTTATAGGATGACCCAATTGGAAGAACCCAAATGTTGTGCTGTTGGTAAGGAGATAGACATAAAAGTGGTGGATCCACACAATGGAATTGTACTATGCAATAACAAAGAGATGAGTTTTTATTTCTCTCAGGTGTGATATTACTTGATCATATGGGCCTTGAAGGCTCACGCACACAATAAATAGTATTCAATAAATCTTTGACCTTTATTGATTTGAGAGAGAGGGGGGGGGACATTGATTTGTTATTTCATTTATTTATGTATTTGTTGGTTGAATATGCCCAAACTGGGGATCAAATCCGCAATCTTGGGGTATCAGGACAAACTGAAATACCTGGCCAGGGTCAAACATTGATTCCCATATTTTTACAAAATGAAGAATCTTTAGATCTCTCTCAGTGGTCAGAAAAGAGGTTCTATACAATAGACATCCAAAACATTGGCTGAGAAAAAAAAACACACTATTTTTTTCTGAGCCAAAATACATGTATGTCATTGTGTTTTCTAAGTCTCTCATTTAATTTTCATGTTTTATTCTGAGTATCAGATCTAATAGAGTAAACCAAACCAACAATAATTAACATGTAGACTGACAATTTATATGAGGGCAAATGTGTTTAAGCTCTTGGTTCCAGCTTATTTGTAAGACACATGAGTAATTAAAGAAACAAAGCAAAGGGCAATCACCCCAAGCAATAACCTGAGGTGGGGTTTGAAAAATTCATATTTTTCTCTAAAAACTATAATGTTTTTAAGGTAAAACTATAGGGTGATTTCATTTCAGAGGTGCTTTTCTGTCTAAGTAGAAAAAAAAAGTGAGGTGCAGGAATAACTGTATTGGGATATATCCATACACACACACAAATGTGACATGTCTGTCCAAACCCAAAAGCAACTGGCAACAAGAAAGAAAATTTTGATATCTGAAAGCACTTGTGTAGACATAAAAAGATTGCTTCACTTTTATAAGAAGACATAGAAAGAGACCATAAAACCGATGAGCATTCTAATGTAGCAAGAAAATAGTAGGTTATACAAAGTATTGGTAAAATTGAGATTCAAACAAGTAGATCATTTTATGGAAGTATAACATTTTATCCAGGAAACCATTCAAGTTACTCAAGAATGAAAGTAAATGGAGAAAAAGTATATTCCAAGACAGGACAAACATATCTGCCCAACATTCAGGTTAGAAATTAATTGCATAGCAACTAGCATGTTTTACATGCATGGTAATACTTAAAAACAATTTTAATATGACATTTTAATTTTTTCCTCCCTGTTTTAAACCTAATGTGTCTACCTACAATACAACAAACTTTGACTTAAAAAACAATAACAATATTTAGCCTCACTGGTGTGGCTTGATGGTTGAGTGTCGACCTATGAACCAGGAGATCACATTTGATTCCCAGTCAGGGCACATGCCTAAATTGCAGGCTGAATCTCCAGTAGGGGGCATGCTGGAGGCAGCCTATCAATGATTCTCTCTCATCATTGATGTTTCTATCTCTCTCTCCCTCTCCCTTCCTCTTTGAAATAAAATAATAATAATAATAAACACATTTTTAAAAGTCTTTCTCATAGTTATATGAATTAATAGGACTCTTCTGGGTAGTTCTCTTTTGAAATCTTTCATGTAGTTGCAATCAGATGAAAGCAGGGGCTGTAGTCATTGGAAGTGTCTACTGGGCTTCCCAAGATGGCTTATTCACCCACCTGTCTGGCAGTGATGCTGGCTTTCTCTGAGAGCTCAACTAAGGTTTGACCAGAGCACTGATACAGGGCATTTTATGTGGCTTGGGCTCCTTATGGCAGAGTGGTCCAGGTAGTCACATTTCTTTCCTGGGGGCAGGAATATCTTAAGATGGGGTATCAGTGGATAGAACGTCAGCCTGCGGACTGAAGGGTCCCAGGTTCGATTCCGGTCAAGGGCATGTACCTTGGTTGCGGGCACATCCCTAGTGGGGAGTGTGAGGGAGGCAGCTGATAGATGTTCCTCTCTCATTGATGTTTCTAACTTTCTATCCCTCTCCCTTCCTCTCTGTTTAAAAATCAATAAAATGTATTTTTTTTAAAAAAGAAGGAGTATTCTGAGAAACATAGGTGGAAATTGAAAGGTTTCTTGTGACCTAACTCCAAGGTTATAGAGCATCAGTCTGTTGTAGTCTATTGATTAAAAAAAAAAAAAAAAAAAAAAAAAAGGCAGTTACAAAGACAGTGCAGATGCAATAGAGAGAAACCTGTATTCTCAGAAATATGAGATTAAGTGATTCAATTAAGATTCATTGGGAACTATCCCCCAAATAATTGGCAACTGATCAAAAATTTACTTGAGGATAAATTAAATTATGGTGAGTTATTTCCCTTGATTTGCATATCCTCTCTCACATATCAAGTAAACTTTTACTCATCCTTCGAGACCCCAAATTCAGTTGTATATGATCTATAAATATTTCCAAAATCCTCTATTTTAGTCCTTATTTTTACAGGTGAGGAAATTTAAGACTAGAGAGTTTAAGTGAATTTTCCTCTATTACACAGTGAGATTATGGCATAACCAGTCCTTTATCCAGTTGTCAAACTTCCAACCCAGTGTTCTTTTTATTGCACTCATTGCTTCTTTTTTTTATTGCTTCTGATAAAAATATGATAGTATTAGGATAGAATTTCATAATGTCAACTAGCTCTTTATTTAGAAAAGTCCTTTTTAAAAATTCATGGCCTAGAAAGCATAGTAGCTAATGTCTTAGGTTATGTAAGAGGACAAACCCTGGTTTGAGTCACTAGTATTGTTCTTCATTAGCTGTGTGACCTGGACAGATTCTGTAGCTTCCAAGGCTCAATTTTCTCATCTGTAAAATGGGCATGATAATAATATGCACTTTGAAGGATTTTTATTACCATCCAATAAGATAATGGCTTATAAAGCCAATAGCACACTGTATGGAACACAGTAAAATCCCAATGAATGTGGGTGATAGTACTCGATAATTTTATAGAGTAATTGATTTTATTATTTTATTGACATAAGGTTATATTACATTCTATTTTTCTATTTTATTTTATCATTTGGACTACAATTCAAGTTTATACAGTTATTTGATAAATATTCTACTAGCTTTGTTTCTAAAGTGAGAAAATAAACTAATAAATTACCTAGTTTCTGAGGTGTGAAAACCAGATAACTTCCAATATCATTATGGGTTGGACTGAGCTCCTGCGACTCCCAGGAAATTGAACTAGAAAACATATGCATATAAAAAATAGTCATTATACAGAAATGCAGTTGCAAATAACAGTCATTTCTTTTTTAAATCTAGTGATATGATTTCAAGAAAATTCTTGGGAGCGAGAAGATTTTTCTTTGAGAAAGGAGAGGATTAATCAGGAAAGTCTGTCTGGAGAAGGAAGTTTCCCAAATAAACTCACTTAAACACATAGGAAGGCTCAGCTGGTGTGCCTCACCGTCCTGTACGTAGCTCTGTAAGTTTTCCTCTTGTTATTTTACTTTCTCCTCAATTCTTGGCTGTTGTTTCTATTTGTATACAGCTCAGTTTGCATTCTCAGTTGCTTAGGGCAAATGACTGGGGTTCCACTTGGCAATTCATTGCCTGAGTACTAGGGAAAAGCATGCATCTGTCTTTGTACAGTTCCAGCATCACAGCAGCGGTCTGCTGTTCCTGGGAGTTCTGATATTCTCACTCTCCCTCACATTGTGCAGCTGAACATACACATGTACTGGTTAGTTTAAAAGTTCTTGTGCA